AAATGCAAACAGTACCTCATCAATGAGCATGGAAACCCTAGCGAGCTCAAAGCTTGGCCGATCTGCGATCTCACCGACGATACAAAGTAACGAAGATCTAACAGAAGTTAGAGAGCAGAGCGGAGAGAGCGAGATCTGACCTTAGAGTGAGAGGCAGTTAGAGAGAGAAATAGGAGAGAGAAAGAGGGGGAGAGAGAGAGAGAGAGAAAGAGGGGGAGAGAGAGGAGTCAAAAGGAATCCGTGCAAACGATTGGAAACCGAAACTCCTCAGAAGCGACAGGAAGAGATGGGAGGAGCTATAGGAGGAGATAGAGGGAAGTAATGAATAGATGAATAATGTATGAGTGTGAAATAGGGGCCTTTTCGGCATTTCGATTTTTGTTCGTCTTTTCAAGTTTTACTCTGGTACTACAAAAGTAGTAGTGCCCAGAAGGCAGAGAGGTGCTGCTTTTGGACTCCGGCTGCGGCCGACGGGGACACGTGGACGACAATTAAATGGGTTGTTGGCGATTGTGGTCATCCACGTTATGACTAGTTTGACTACGTTATGAAACATGTGAAAGCCTGTCATTTAATTTTTTTTTTTTTTATGTCAAATTATTATGCTCAAAGTGTCAATTGTTGGCAGCAAAATTCAAAAATTAATGTGAGTAAAATGTCATCAAGTCTAAATTTGTTGAACGATAAATAACAAGGAGATTCTCTAAAAGTAAACTATTTATAGATTATTTATTACTTTATAATTTAACGTTAATTTTTGTGCTAATATTATAAAATATTGTGACAAAAATATGAAGTAGCAAAGTTCCATTTTGAGTCTTGTTAACATTTCTCTTCTTGAATTTACTTGTATAAAAAATCGATGTCAATTTTCCTTTACTTTCTACTTACTGCAAACCTTTTATTATGTGTTTACGTACTTAATTTTTCAAGAATTAGATTATGAATTCTAAATTAAGTGCCTTATAACTTTGATTTCATATGTGTTAGTAAACACATAGGATGTCAGAGTCAAAAAACGGATAGGCAGCCAATACTAAAAAAACGCATATCAAACGCATAGGAAGTTGGAGTAAAAAAGGCATACGCAGTCAAGAGTGAAAAAAAAAAACGCATATAAATGCATAGGAAGTCGGAGTCAAAAAACGCATATCAAATGCATAGGAATTCAGAGTAAAAAACACATAGGCAATCAAGAGTGAAAAAAACGCATATAACGCATAGGAAGTCGGACTCAAAAAACGCATAGGCAGTCAAGAGTGAATAAACACATATAAACGCATAGGAAGTCAGAAAACGCATAAGAAGTCAGAGTTAAAAAAACGCATAGGCAATCAAGAGTGAATAAACACATATAAACGCATAGGAAGTCGGAGTCAAAAAACGCATAGGCAATCAAGAGTTAAAAAAACGCATATTAAACGCATAGGCAACCAAAGTTAGAAAACGCATAGGAAGTCAAGAGTCAATTTTATTTTTTACTCTTATTAAATGCATGTTCGAGTCAGACAACGTATATAAATGTTACACTATATTTGGATGAGGAAATTTAAGATTTCAAAGAAATTCTAAAATGATGGAATTTGAAATGATAAAAATATATTTTTAAGAATTTGTGAATTTTCTTATTTGGCTAACCTAAAAGAATTAGAAAACTCAAATATGGAATTTAATGTGTATCTAGAGTCATTAATGTATATATATGTGAGGGATAATAGTTAGGAAATACTAGTGGAGGTGGTGGATTGTGGTGGCAGCAATAGTGACGGTGGGTGATACTGGTGGCAGTGGCATGATGGTGGGTGGCGGCAATGACTATGGTAGATGGTAGCGGTGGCGGCAGTTATGATGGGTGGTGGTAGGAGTGATAGTGATAGCCATTCATGGTTGATTTTTATTTTTTTTAACTCTCACTCGTGAAAATTCATAAATGACAACTTTACATGAAATTTAAATTTGGAAATTGGATATCCTGTGACAGCCCTTCCCGGAAATTTTAAAAACGTACGCGTGAAAAGACAGTTTTGCCCCTAGTGCGATTTCTTTACGTTGTGTGGTTGTTTGAGTTGGTGTGGCTGCCTGTGGACCACACACACACTCCCATAATCTCCCTCACCCTTTCCCCCCTATCCCTGCACCTGTCCCGAGTTCCCTTTCCCTTCCCATTTTCCATACAACGTACGGACACACACACAAACCCATCAAACCTTCACAGATCGAAGAAACAAAATACATATCCATGCTCATGAGGCTCGTAAGAGTCCAACCATACCCATTTCAGGTAGGGTTACCTTCGTTTTCACGTCGAACTCGTGATGTCCGATTTTTGGTACTGTTCATGCACACGTGATTTCTCATGTTTTAGGGAATTTCAAGCTTGTAGGAAGCTTGGTGAGGTCCCTAGGAGGCTCGGGGTGGTTCGTTTGAAGGTTTTGGACGTCGGGATAATGAGTTTCGAGGTTGGCCGGAATTGGAGGAGTTTTCCAGGTGAGATTTCGTGGATTTTAGCACTTGAAAGTGGTATGATTTTGTTCCTCTTGTTGTAAGCTTCAATTTGGTACCAATTTTGTGAAATTTGGTTGAAAAACAAAGAAGATATCACGATTTGAAATTTTCCCAATTTTCCGGCGCCGGCGACTGCGTCGGAGGCTCGCCGGAGAAGACGACGGAATATTCCGTCAAAACTGACGAAATATTCCTAACGCCGTTGACAGAAACCGTTAAAGATAACGAAATATTCCTGACGGCGTCAACTGATGCCGTCAGCGTGCCAGGCACGTGCCTGCGCGTGTGGCCGTGCCTTGGCCGGCGAGTGGGGGCGCGTGCGGCGGTGGAAAATTTTTCTAAAAATATGGGGATGTTCCTGAGGTTGAGTAGATCACATTGGTGTATTCATACACCCCATTTGAGCATTGTATGAGAAGTTATTTCTAAAAGTTGGTTATGTGCTTTAAAATTAACGTTTTTATAGTTGTTTCGCATATAGGTGAGACCTATCCCGAGGACGAGCGTGGTCACTCGAGGCAGGGGGGTTACGACCCTTCTACGTACCAGTAAGTGGGCTTTTGGTTTTCCGTATATACCTATATACTTATATGTTTCCCAGAAAATGAATTAAAATGTTTTCATTTATCATGCCATGTTTATTGGTTGCCATTCGTTTATGCATTATTGATTATAGATATATATATATACATGTGTATTGGTGCCGTGGACGCACAGGTAAGTGCCAGGTGAGTATGATTTATATTTACATTCAGTAGTGATTCTAAAGACTTAGAGAGCTCGTAACCTGCACCCCGGTGTTAGTGCTCCCGCCTAGAGTCGGGCACAGTCCTTCACGTGATGTTCACCTCCCGCACCACACGCTCATCTTGGATCCAAGTTAGGTGCACAGGCTTGTCGTACAGACCACTTTAGGTGGTTCCGACTCATAGGTGACCCGCGATTATTCGCCCAGCCTTCACGTGATCGTAGCACTAGAGCGTACTTATATTACACCCAGGTCTGTCGTACAGACAACTTTAGGTGGTTCCGACTCGTGTGCAGGTATAGTTAGTGAGATGGAGATTCGAGCTCTAGATTCAGCCGTACAGGTCACATTAGGTGACTCCGGCTGACAGTTTACATGGTATTGATTTGATGTTTCCTGAGCACTGGCATATTACTTCGATACATTTGCATGGCACGTTTTTCGAGCATGACATATATATATATATACCATTTTCTGGGAAGTATACAGGTTTTACGGCGAGGGGTTAGAACTTATTTATTAAATTGGTTTTCGAAAAGCTTTGTTTTTGCCCATTCACGCTTTTGTTTTGCGTCCCTCCAGGTTCTAGTTGGCTAGCGCATTTGGTGGCTTCCCTGAGGATTTCCCCGGCATATCTGACAGACCACCACCACTGTGGGACCACCTTCGGGTGTGCTTTTGTTGTCGTTGTTTCCTTTTGGACTGCATTAGGCTTTATGCTCTGAACTTAGTATCGCACTTACGCTTGCACTTGTTTTATTACTTGGTGTAAAGCTAGTTTTTATTTATTCGTACCATTTACCTTATTATTTTATTAGCTTCCGCTCGGTGCACATGGTTACGTCACTCCCACGTGACGGCCAGCATGCCCTGACCTCGTTTGGGGTGTGTCATATCCAAAATTCCAATTTTTTTTTTTTCACATGAAATTCTAAATTTCTATGTTTATAAATTCAAACAAGAGAAATGGAGCATGTTAATTTATAAATTTTGACTTTTAACCAAATTTTAAGTTTATTTCTCTCATCAAAACGGAGCATTAGAAATTTGACTACAATATTAACATATATCTAATATAATAATCATCTCGACAATCGGATGGTGATTGTATTAAATTTTATTCACATGAATTATTCTGACCGTCAGATAGTAATTGTATTAAATACATGTTAACATTGTAGTCGGTCCGAAAGATAGAGTCAAAATAACCTTTTACCCTTAATAAACTTTGACAATTGATGCCCAAAAAGTGAACCAGGCTGGCTAAATTGGGATGGATGGCGATAGGCAAGACTTCTCAATCAGAGTACCCCTTACGATATGTTTTTGGCACAAATGACTAAAAATCTTGGGATGCGACAAGTGATGAAATATATTACACCGACATGTGGTCAAGTTGCACACTGTATATGCAATGGTTGCCTTTGTTGCTCGATCCGGTCCTACAAAACTACAATAAGAGGAGCATATTGCCCACCAGTTTTAATGCCACTTTATTTCCAAAAATATATGCTGTGGCAGAAAAGGAGTCCCCAGTCCTTGCTAAGAAACATTATTGGCCGGATAAAAGAGTAAAATCTTAGGTTCAACCGAGGTGTATGTTCATTGAGCCTATATATTCAGTGTGTGACATGTATTGCGAGGAGAGAGAGAGGCACAACGGATATACACTCGGTTGCACATAAGATCTTCTCCACATGATGGTAAGAGTATGGAAAAACGAACTCACAAACTGAACACACTGATGGACTCTCAAATCTAAACCTTCATTGTTCCTCGACGTTGTTTCATTGTTTTCGGATTACACAGAAGTAAAAAACATGACACCAGAAGCAAGGCACCATTCTAAGCCTTACAAATTCGACTGCAGTATATGACACGAAACCCTCCTCTTGGGCCATCCGTCTCCCTGGAAAACGAAGAGGAAGTATACACCTTTTGCAATCTATGGCGGTCCTTGGGGTCCTTGGTCTTCTACAGGAGCACCATTGGCTGTCAAGCCTCTGATCTTAACATCGTAGTGAACTTCTTCAACCCTTCTCAGGTCATACTTCATACCTGCCGCATGTGAGAAATGATTAATGCAAGTGGGATGCAAAAATGTTGAAAAATCATGAGGTCTGTCAAGGGTTGAATGGAAAACACAACGATCTATAAGTAGGGTTAAAATGAGTAGCATACCATCAAATTTCTTGCGCAAAAAGTCATTCCGGAGATTAAGCATACGGAAGGCTGCATGAAGATCTGTCAAAAACTTAAGCACCTTTCTTGGACAGTCATAGTCCCCAGCAGTCACTTGGTTAACCACGTACCTCGGCTGCAACAATGTACAGAATAATGAGCCTCTTTCAGTGCAAATTTATCAATTTTTCTTGAGATACGACAATCAATAAGCAAATATATCCCGCAGATTACTTATATGAACAGCATCTGTCTAGAATTACATTCTAGGTCTCTGTATTCAATTATATGCCTCTTCAAGTATAACACTGTCGTATTTTCTCATCATGTCTAATATTTTACTGGAATCAAGCTCAAGACAACAATGCCAACACTTTGGCTTAGTATGCACAGAAGACTTTGTAATTTCCAAAAACTTCTTACCAATTCATTGGACATGAAACAAATACCTGCAATACGAGAAAAGTTTCCATATCAGTGTCTATTTAAAAGAGATTAGCAACAAAGGTTACGCAAGGTGACAACCTACACACATAATATAAACAAGGGCAGATAAGAAGAGCACCTAGGCTAACTTGAATCATAAATTTGTGTTTATGTTGCTGTTGTTCATAGAATGTAACGAAACCGTGAAATATTTATGAAAGGAAATCTTGTGCCTGTCCGTATTGATCACAAAGCCTCATATGGCAATATGAACTGTTTGGCTTGTTTCATAGAAACTCTAATGCAATCATGAACAAAGAAATCTAACAACACTCACCAACAAGATAGTCTTCAACATCCAGACAAAATTCTGAATCGTTCACTGCAAAATTAGTAGCCATATCAGATTACAAAATAAAAAATAAAGAGTGAGCACAACACATTATGGGCAGTCATGGATCTCATATTTTGTAACTGACGTCACTACATAACATGGCCCAAGGTTTTATACTTTATTAGATATTGGGAGATTCTAGTCACTCTTGCTACTCGTCATGGATCCAAGTTCGGGTGTTGGACCTCCCAGGTTTTCATTACAAGACAACTTGTTTGTAAAATGATGCTAATCAGGTTTTTTCATAACCGGGAGGTCCAACATCAATTATTTAAAAATCAAGTTACAGATTGATCTTAATCCGAGTCTAGATTACTAGTACAATGGCACGAGGAATGGGCAAAATCCTAGTCTGGCATGGCCAATGCACTAGTTTATACTCAGATTAAAATCAATCTGAAACCTGAATTTTAAATTTATCGATGAAAAAACCTGAACATGGGCTGCTCTCTAATAACGGAAAAAGTACCCCAATCCATTGGTTTGAAATCCATTTGTCAACAAAATTAAGCATTGATTTCACAAAATTGATACTTACATATATAAACGATGCGGGAAACATCAAAATTCCGCTCAGATTATACAAACCAATAAATATATAACCATGAACAATGACAGAGAGTCGAAACGTACATCCAAGTTTTTCTTCAGCTTCAGTGTGCAACAAAAGAGTCCCGGTCTCCAACCAGTGAATAAACGCAAGCAGTGAAACCACAGTTTGCGTCTCAGTCCTCCAGTCACCATGATATCTAAACCCACATAAAACACATCAATTCCAGTCCCAAAAAACCAACCCAAAATTCAAAACTCCCAGCAATGTCCCCGTCACTAACCTATAGTACTGCCCAGGAGAACCACGCACAACTTCAGCGAGCCGATTGTAGAGCTCCTTCAGCACGCCAATCTGTCCCTTCGGCTTCTCCAAAACCTCTGCTTTCGAAATTAAACCGCAAAATAACGAATATTACTCATCGCATTAGCCCTAATTATTTCGATCAAGTCGATTAAGCAAATTCGAGGAGATTACCGGGAGTGGAGCGAGACTGGTGAACTAGGAGGAGGCCGGAGTGCATGAGCCTTGTGGTGGACTCGATCTCCATAACCACAGCTCGAATGCGCTCGCGCAAGGTCCCGGACTCTTCGAGCTGAGCTCGGAAGTCATCGAACTGCTTCTCCAGCGGGGGAGGCGTGAGGGGTTCGCCGCCAGGCATCGACGCGGAGGAGAGAGTGGCGGAGAGGGAGGGAAATGTTTGGGGTCTCAGGGACGGAGGTGAGGGAGGGGTGAGGAGTGTGAGACGGAGAGGGAGGAGAAGCGAGGTGAGGTGAGGGTTAGGGTTTAGGGACCGGAAGAAAGAGTGGGCGCTTCGAAACGCTGCCTTCATAGTCTCGGTCTATTTACTTTGTTGGGGGGTTTTGTGCTGTTCATGGATACGTGTTGCGCGAGCGTAGGTAGGAATTGAGTTTAATTTAAACTCACGATTCTGATTATTATATATAGACATTATACTAATCAAAACAAGAGGCTTGTAAGTGTGAGGTTTTGAATCGACTCATGAGCTCAAATTTTGATCAATTCATAATAGAGTATCGTTGTGTTAGTAAAAGTAGATAATCGATATGATATAATCTTACGTAATAATTGTGGTCACAGTTTATGTGAAAATATATGTTATGCACTATTACTCATGAGGCGTGAGCAAATCCTGACCATTGACGGATTGTGATTTGTGAGTGCTATAATACTACATGCTAAGATTCAACCTTGAAATTGCTCTACAATAGTTGACATGGGCTTTTAGCCAAGCGGCCAGATAAAACGCAGATCTTGGAGCACCCAATCTTTTCTCTCTTTTCTTATATTTGGATTAGGATACTTAGAGCATAGATGCAAAATACCTTGAAATGGGCATTTTACATTTTTTTTGTTGCTTAAAAAACACTCCAATGGTGGAATGTACAATATTCATCTTCACGCGGAAGATGTAAATAAAAAAATGTATCGCACAAAAGATGTAGATAAAGAGAGGAGGAGATGGTGGTATTATTGTTTTTCACTTTTGATTTGGTGTGTTGTAACGATGTTACAGACATGCCTCTATTTATAAGAGTTTAATCCCATAACTTCTTATATAAAAGAAGAAAATATTTCACCTATCTATGACATTTTCATCTAATGCTCATCAAAGTCCACTTGGTTACCTTTCTTACACAAACCCATGTGTGGCATTCACACCACATTTCACAATAAATTTGCATTTTCCTTTGTATCTTTTGCGGGTGAACCCCACCAAACAAAGAGAGAAGTATAAATAAGATGTCAAACAAACATTCACACGTCCCGAAAATGTAAAATGAGATGTAAATGTGATTTCTACATCATTAATTTGTATCTTTCCATTGGCTCTTGAATCAAAATGCACACAAGACTGGTTTTTATAATGTTTCTATAATAAACTTCAATGGCTCATTTGTACAAATAGGTTTAATCTTCATGAAAATTTGGTAATAATTTATGAATATATATATATATATATATATATAGATTTCAAAGTAAACTTAAGTGTTCCTGTTCCTGTTTTGTACAAAATAAAGCGAAAGTGTGAGGTTCTCTAATCTCTAATCTTGTAGATGTGTGCATTTTCTGCTCAGTGTTACCCTGCCTTCAATTCTTGTTGCTAAACTTGTTTGGCTTCACTTCTGATCAGTGACCATCATACAAATTACAAGGCTATTGAAATTTGACTTCTGCACAAAAACGCTACTTCTTTTGGAAAGTCACCATCAGAATGAAAGCCAGTATACGACTAAGCACGCCAATGGCGATGAGGACGATCAGACAAAGTGTCCAATCATCGAGGTTGAAGCCTCGTTTTGATAATGCGGTGCAGCGAGTGATCAGCCACACCCCCGAGTACCTGATCAAGAAACGAGCAAAATAAGAAAGAGGAAATCGACATCCAAATTCCTAACATAATGCAGGAGAAAACTTGCAACATTGTTGGGCGTTGCATGGAACAAATGTGTGTGCACCAAGTGACGTGTGGATGTCGATTAGTAAGTGAGTCTGCATTCATAAGTTACCATGCTAACTACCACGACAAAGAGGAGGAAGGATCGAAACAAACCTTTCAGCATTTGCAATGAAAAAAGCTTCTAGTGCCCACTTTGTGTAGCAAAAATTTGCTACATGCTTCGCTAATAAATTATCTTTCGCTTGGTTTGCAATGAGGGTTGAAACAACAGGAAGAAGCACAGACCACTGCAGATGAGCCGAGGACGAGAAAACAGAATTGATTAGCTTTTGAGGAAATGTAAAATTTACACGTGTAAACTTGACGTTACGGTTTATACCAGTTGGGCAGGACTAGGATCAAGGTAGATGGCAATTGCATAAGCTATGCCGGTCACACAGTAGACAAGGCAAAGCAAAACAACGTAATTGTCCTGAAAGGATGACCTTGGGTTGTTAAAGAAGTAGAACATGGATAGATAAACCAATGGCTTGACGATTGTATTGAAATGGTCCAATGTGTCTTTGGACAGAAAATGAGCCAGACTGCTGATCCCGGATGCACTCTCTCTCCAGTACTGTAATTTGTCCAGAGAAAAGGTTCTCAATGCTGAAATTTTGCACAGCAGTGCTGCAATAAAAAAAATTAAGATGATAAGAAATGAGCAAAGACCGACAATAAGAAAATTGTCTAGTCGAAGAAACAGCAAGTTACAGTTATCCAACGGTTTGTAACTTACAAACAGCAATGACAGTATACATATAGCCATGGGCCCCAAACGTTTCATCCTTCACTTTACCAAGAGTCCCTAAGATGGCTCCAGCGAGTAATAGAATCAGGTAATCAGCTGCCAGCATTTGAGCATCTCGTAGTCTCTGCTTACCAACCCTGAGAGAAACTACCTATAAGAATTTCAGGCTAAAACTAAAAACGGTCCATAGACTTTAACAGCCAAAGGACAACCAATTATACTTTTTCGGACATGATTGCAGTTTCAACTTCAATACGGACCATCTTAACAGATATTTATGCAAGGCTCAAATGAGTACTAATATGAAGCCGAAAAATGATCAAAGAATGCCCTTTTCAACTCGAGGTTTTCCAGAATTTCCAGAAAAAACTGAAAGATAAACATGTCGCCCTGGATGGTGAAACACTGGCCAGTCTTTTCAATTCACAATGTTTCGGGGAAAACTAGAAAACCTGGTCATGCTTCTGAGGAATGTAAGGTACCTTCAATTATGCAGCAACACCAAAAAAAAAAAAAAAAAAAAAGACAGAATATGGAAGCTTATGCATGTAAAAAAAGAAACCTTAAAAATGGATGCTATACCTCCCTACAAAATATCTGTACTGCCGAACCACACCAGGAGTAACTCGGTTGGAAAAATCCTTAGACGTGAAGAAGTTGTGTTGTAGGTGATCTTTTTTCACCTCAACACTAGACTTGACATCCTTCCACATATCTGCAGCAAAAGATTGATCTCTTTTCATTACAGGTTTTGGGCCAGCTGAACTTGCAGCAATACCATCAAGATAATGCAGCATATCTTCAGGTACTGGGTACCCATTATGAAGCATCCACCTAACAGGAAGTTCTTCATGTTTCACACCTGAGCTTGGTTTTACTATTCCCTCCAAAATGTCAATGAAGTGGTCGGGAGGATTAACACGTTCTGGTACATCAATTCCGATGCCAGCAAAATATTCTTCAACTTTCTTTACAGATCCATGATATACAACAAAACCTCCTTTGGCTAGAAGAATGAAATCATCAAACATCCTGAATAAGGCATAGCTAAAAGGACAAACACCTTAAATCAATAAGATACAAAAGATTTACGATAAGAATTAAAAAAATAGCAAATAAAAACGGCCTTTTATCCTTTAACCTGGCAATTAATAATTACATGCTTTTCATCACGAACTTTCAAGAGAAAGAAATAGCATACTCTAGTTCATTTCTCTTTGGGAAAATGATAAAAGGACATATTTTATGACCACTTGATGTGGTAATTGATTGTTTTTGGGAACATGATAAAGGGACTATTTACTCGCAGACCATGTGATGTGATAGTTGATGTATATAATTACATTAATTATTTCGACCAGTTATCATAAACACATCGACTGCCACATCGTATGGTAATAAATTATGGTTGCTATACCTCAAACCTTATGTTATGCGGTGAAATCTTAGAGAGAGCATACCTTGGTTGGTGAACTACCATGCAGATGTTGACCCCTTCACGAGATTCACGTCGAAGTGCTTTAAGAAGTAACTGGGAAGATGCACTGTCCAAACCAGTCGTAGGCTCATCCAAGATCAACAATGAAGGTTCCATGACCATCTCTATGCCAACATTTACACGTTTTCTCTGACCTCCAGAGACTCCTCGTTTCTCCACAGTACCAACCAAAGAGTCTCTCACTGACTGTAGTCCCAAGGACTCAATAACTCTTTCAACAACCAGGACTTTATCAGGTTTTGGCATGTTTGCAGATAGCCTGCAGTATCAAGGAGTCCAACAACAAGGATATAATAGGAATCAGAATAAAGCAAACAAAATTACTGATACCAGTCCAATCAACACAAAACTTACATATTAGAGTTAAGAATTAGTGGCGAGACATAATCAATTACAATAAAAAATTTTGGTTAGTATGGGATGGTAAGTTAAAATATGAGTAAAGAGTTTAATCAAAATAGTAGCCTCAAAAGCATTGCTTACGTCCTGAGGCCTTTCATGTCCTGCGTGCATTGGTTATCTTTTAACAGTAGCCTCTTGTTTTTCTTTTTTTTTTTTTTTTTTTTTTTTTTTTTTTGTTTGCATTCAATTGTGATTAGTCTTTTGTACAATGAGAAAATTGTATGTGAAACGAGAAAAGAACATGGACTATCAACACTAAGCCTTAGCCAGCATGTAGAAGTCTGTTAAAGGATAAAATGAGGAACAACCATAAAATATATTCGTCAATAATATAAATTCAAGGAATTTCTATGATGAAGATACGAGAAAATGTGTTCTTCAAGCATGATGAATGAAATAACCAATGAAGTGATGAAATAAAAAATGGGTCATATGGAAACCAGAACCTCATCCGTAATAGGAGCACACTGGTATCTAAGGATACTAAAAGTGCCTCAATATAAATACACCATGATTTTCAATTCAAAAGAGTACCATGTAACAGATTTTAATTAGTACAAAATTTAGTGCTAAATATTGTGCTAGTAGGTTTTGACTACCATTTATGCTCAATCCGCATCTTATAAACTGCCATGAAATACTATGGAATTAATGGCTAATGAAAATACAGATATGTATTAAAATGTGAGGATGTGTAATAATTAATGACCATAATGATACTTATTCATTAGCAATAATAAAATTCCACATATAACAAAAGTATGAAAAAGGACATAATTCAAAATTGAGCTGAACTGCTGCGCAAACTTGTGAGTTACATACCTGCACCTTGCACTGAATCGGAGATTCTCCTCCACAGTCAAGTTTCCATGCACAATATCATCTTGAGGCACAAAACCAATGATTTTCTTATATGAATGCATTGGTTCGGATTTTCCATTTATAAGAATTGAGCCTGTCACAGTGCATCCAGTTACTTTTCCTGACAATGCTGAAAGGAATGTTGTTTTCCCAGCCCCTGAAGGACCCATGACTGCTGAAACTCGACCAGGCAAAAGTTTCCCGGTTACACACCTCAAAAGAGTTTTTTCTTTTCCTTTCAGTGTGAGAGTTAAATCTTTGAAATCTACTTCAATCACAGGACGAGTCTTCACTTCAGTATCGGTGGCCATTTGGATTAGTCCTGTGAAGGTTAAGTTGCTTGGTTGTTGCATAGCTTTCTCCTTCTCAAGTTGCCCGTATGCATACTTGAAAATTTGACTGTGAGTATGCAGGTTTTTTACATTTGGTACTTGTTTTTTATATTTTTATCTCCAATCTGTAGATCAAAACCTTCATTACCATTTGGATCATCCTCAAAGGATTGCATCATTTTCGTAAGGTTGCTAGGTTCCTTTTTCTTTTCTTTTGAAGCAGCTGCTGATGTCTGCTCGCCGCTTAGTGTACCTGGTATCTTAGGTGGTAATGATGTCTCTTGGCCTAGAACCTTCAGTGGCTCTGATTGGCCCCTTACAGATTTTTTGCGAGAAAATGCGCGAGACATCTGCTCTTGCAATCCCACTTTGCGCTTCTTGACTAGATTTCTTGTAGATTTCCATCTTTCACGTGCTTGTGCAGTTTCTCGTGCATGTCTTGCTGCAGCTTCCCTGGTCTTAGCCGCTCTTTTTTCTCGAATGGCAAGAACATGATCAGAACAGTTATAAACAATGAGCAGCACAAGACTCAGTAAAACCTACACAGTCAAGTGAATCTGATTGATCAATTAGCCCAATTTATATAAATATACGTGTGTATGCAGTGAGCTTCGGTTGAGGGATCCCCCAAATAAGCTTATTTGACACCCTTTTCAACAATCCAAACTGTAGTTTTATGTCTTTCCTCAAAGATTATCTCAACAAAAGATCACCCAAAATGGGAAACCATATGACCGTTAGATTAAATGGTACTTATTTTAGTGTTTCTTTTCGTCTACTTTCTTTACTAAAATTGGATGTTTTAATAGTTTTGGACTTGTCTAATTTCTCTATGAATGAAAAAATTAAAATATGAACTGCCTAATCCGAAATTGAAAGCCACAAGGCCCACACCTAATACTTCACTTGCTGATACAATAAACTACACCAAAATAGCTTATATGTTATTTTACAAATTTTCATCTAAGATTATGTAGTAAACACTTACAATGAGGATGATCCCATAAGCATGTATCTTCTGGTTTGCAGGTGCCTCGACCACAAGCAGTCAGCTTCAAGCATGCTGTAAATAGTCAATTGATATCAATAATATATATCCGACCTCCTAAAAAATAGAAGTACGAAGGATAACGTCTAGAGGAGCATGGACATGTGAACACGTAATGATTTTGCAGGGTTATGGTCAAAAGAAATAACATGATGATACTGAGATATTTACAATGCAAGTAACCCATTTTATTGCATTCATCAGAAAATGGTAACCAACTCTTCCTGTATCTTATTCAAGCACCTAATATTGCAAAACTTATTTAAAAGGATCAACTCCATTTAAAATTTGACGCTAAGAAGCACAGTATCAGAGAAAGGGAGCAAAATTTGCTCATTCGAAGACTATATTGTCAACCAACATAACCAAGAAATATTGGAGAAAGTGACAGCTCCAATCTAACACCCAAACTCATGAAATGAAGCAGAAGCGGAAAGGAAAGGGTATTTTACTGTTACTCGCTGGAAAACAGCATGTCTCTAAATTACTAAAAAGCTATACATGGAAAACATAACAAAACTTACATTGTTGAGCAGTTGCACCCACCCTGCAGTAAAACCTGAAATTGCACTGAGAACACAATCTTAGTTTAAAAAAAAAAAGATGCTGAGCACAATAAGTTGCCTATTTTCTTAAATCATGCACCTGCACCAAGACGGACTAGATTTATTTCAGAACGACTGTAAGCTCATGGTTTACTATCTTGCAGTAAGTAGCAAGCCGCAAACAAGTAGGTAAATTATTTGAGCTTCCGGATGAGAATCAATACCCACTACTGCAAATGTATTTACGAATAGGAGATGGACAATGTGATCCAGCTGAGCAGAAAATATCATTTTTAAGTTCAAAAGCATTCCACATATCTGCACCACCACACGTATGATTTGGTTCTCCTGCTGGTATCTGGTAACTATATCTGCAATATTGTATCCACCAATGAATACTGAATTAGTATTGAGTAATAGGATAGGACAAAAAGGCTGTCAAGACTAGGATATGACTCACGGATCACATAATCCAGTCGTTTGATTCAGCTTTGCACGGGGACAGAAAGAACCTAAAGGACAAGCTTCATTTACAAAAAAAAAAAAAAAATGTGTTAGGTTTCGCTCAATATCATCAATACATCATGCACTTTCAAATCAGCAAAATTATGTGGACTGAGAAAATTTGCCATACAGTCAAGAGTATCTTTACATGTATGTTTCTGATTGTTGATCAATAAATTTTTTTCTGAACTTAAAAATCATAAGCTAACATTTACATGATTTTCATCTCACTTGTTCAATAATCATACAGGTACATATCCAATGTTATGATGTAATATGATTTTGGACTCAAACAATGATCATGTGGCAAGACATCTATAGCACCAACACTTCTAGTCTTCTCAAACAAGAAACGAGCCTTGTTACTTAATGAAATCCCTATAGTCGATCCAATACGCATGAGATTAAGAAAATGACAAAATGGATATCAAAATTAAAGGTGTCACCGGAAAAAAAAAGTTAAGCATCAGCCTCATAGAATGAATAAGATGCTAAAGAAATAAATGTATGAATAGAAATCAATAACACTAAACTCTTTGGACCATATTATGGGCCAACTCTCCTACTAACGGAAATACAAGCATTATCACGTACTTACGTATCATACAAGTAAGGCCCTCGGGGCAGAAGAACCCTGAACAACAAGGCTGACAATCACGAGTTCTAGGTGGCAAGTCCATAACTTTGAGGTCAACCTTCTGGCCGACTCTACAGCCCCAACCAGGTTCACATCCAGAAGCCCACGAGCTCAAATTGCAGTTCTTGTTTGGTTTTAAGTAGTTGGAACGTTTCAGCTCACTCGCTATGAAACTCTTGAAATATAACTGTATTTCCCCTGCTGTACATATTCGATCAGTGACATCTCCTGGTGATTGAATCACATCTTTCATTAGGAACTTTAATGAGGTGTAAGCAATACAAAAACATTTGAAAACTAGCTATCCAGGAGAATAGAAAACAAGAATGTAGCATGCTATCATATCATTAGAACAAATAAGGGTTGTACAAACAAACCGTGGCGGTCACACCATTAGGACTGAGGGCCCCTTTCTCTAATGATAATGGCTATATGAAAACATACCAAACAAAAAACAAAATTTCAGAATTGACCGAAGCTCATACCATCCGTCTGCTTAATGCACTCGCTCAAGAATTCCAGCTTTCCCGAAAAATTGAATGCTGTATTCCAATCCTCATCCCTGAAAACCAAGAAAAAAGAAAATCTTATGCTTATGAAACCAGAAATGTTACAGCAACAAAACAAACTAAAGGGAAAGGGAAATTGGGTTTTACTCACAGATTCTTTATGCAGAAACCCATAGTACTTTTCAGGTTAGTGCTAATATATCTAGTGACAATGGAAAGCTGGCTATAGATTAGCTGTGTAACCTCAGAAAGCACGGCAGCACTTTTCGTCCTACTGTAATCATCTCCGTTCACACAACGCGTGCCCGGCAATAAGTTCAAAACAACAATAAGAAACAGAAAAACATGGGGAACCCAACAGGCATTAATCCTCAATCCCCTCATTTCTAGAACTTGGAGCACCCCATATCGCACATTGTAAGAAAACCGTCCAAGATTCTTCTACCTACTAACAACACACACAACAAGTTGTAATGGAAATCAAATTCCCAAGCGGTCCATGGGAATTGACCGTGGAAGCATTGCCCGCAAGTGCAAACACCTTCACCAAACGAGCATATCATGCAATGCTGCAATAAATTGTAAACCCAGATGAGCGAAAGAAGCAAATTTGAGAAAATGGTTGGATGAAAATGGAGATGGGATTGTAATCTACGCTAAAAAAAGTTGGGTTTCGCGGACCCAGAAGAAAGAATGGAGCAAATGGGTTGCTTGGAAGTGAAGGAAAATGGAACGTTGGGAGGTGAGAGAAGGGAAAGAATGGAGGTTGAAGACGAAGGTGGCGGAGGGGGCTCGAGAGGAACAAGAACTGAGAAAGGGTAGATGATTTTGGGCAGAGGGTTTCGTGTAAATTCTGGAGGCGGCCCGGAAATTGGGCTGAGGAAATGGCGGGGAGAATGTGTGGCCAGCGGCCACATTTTGAAGTAAGAAAATTCAATTAAAAATATATATGTATATTTCCTTGTTGCAGTCTATTAAATTAGAAATGTGATTGTGTAAATCATAGTGTATCTAGGATATTTTTGAATATTCCTTTTAGTAGTTAATATCCTATTAGAGTTGTAATTATATTAGGGTAAGGAATTAACATTCCCTATTACTATAAATAAGGCACAATGGCGTGAAATAGAACGCACTCACAATTACACATCTCTCTTCTCTCTCTATGTGTCGCACCCCCTCTCTCTTTGGCCTTCATAATTGTTTAGTAAATTATACCTACAACATTCCTATACTTTTTTTGTAACATCCCACATCACTCAGGGAGTGGATCTTGTACGCCTTATATGTATATCCCCATCCCTACCTAGCACAAGGTCTTTTGGGAGTTCACTGGCTTCGGGTTCCATTGGAACTCCGAAGTTAAGCGAGTTCGGGGCGAGAGCATTCCTAGGATGGGTGACCTACTGGGAAGTTCTCGTATGAGTTCCCATAAACAATACCGTGAGGGCATGGTCGAGGCCCAAAACGGACAATATCGTGCTACGGTGGAGTCGAGCTCGAGATGTGGTGGGTCCGGGCGGGGATGTGATAATTTGGTATCATAGCCAATCCCTAACTGGATTTGTGTCAACAAGGACGTCGGGCCTTAAGGGGGTTGGATTGTAACATCCCACATCGCTCAGGGGAGTGGATCATGTAAGCCTTATATGTATATTCTCATTCCTACCTAGCACGAGACATTTTGGGAGCTTACTGGTTTCGGGTTCCATCGGAACTTCGAAGTTAAGCGAGTTCAGGGCGAGAGAGCATTCCTAGAGCATTCCTAGGATGAGTGACCCATGGAGAAGTTCTCGTACGTATGAGTACCGTGAGGGCATGATCGGGGCGCAAAGCGAACAATATCGTGCTACGGTAGAGTCGAGCCTGTGATGTGGTAGGGCCCGGGGGGGGATGTGACATTTTTCTTCTTAAAGAAGTGCTCTATTAGGGATGACAAAGATATTGTAGTAATAGTCTTTTAATTTTAATCCAATTGGAGTAATGGTTTCAATTAAAGTTTTGTGACCACTGGTTTCGTAACTCATCAAAACGTGCCATTATAGTTAGTGGCGAACACAGGATTCTAACATCTGGTGGTCCTAATTAAGGTACACTAAGCACTAATCGGGTGGTAGGCCGAGACACTAGATAGACAGGCATAGGCAAAGTCCTAGGCTAAGTATGTGGATTTAAGTAAATTTATTCTATATAATATAAGTAAGAGCCTATTTACACTTTAAAAAAAACTATAGTTGTATCGAAATTTTGAATTAAGTTTATTATTTACCATATAATATACAAAAATATCAGAACTTTTGCTTTAGTATTTTAGTGAATAGGATGGTATGAGATGAAAGTTCAAGTGATTACGAATTCATATTACTTTATGAAATATTTTTTCAAATGTCATATGAATTTTAAAAGAAATAACAATATCAAACATATAGTATAAAAAATATTAGTTAAGTAATACATTATTCATTTATTAATTAAAATACTAGATGACACAACCTGATTGGACAACAATTAAAATAAAAAAAAGAAAACTAAGAAGTTAGTCACGTGGGAAATGGAGGTAGAAAGTCATTTTCTTTTTCTTCTTTGTTGGAACAAAGGACAGTAGAGCCATGGTGGTCTTCTCCACGTTCGTTTTCGTCTGAAATTAGATATTTTCTTGTGATTCAAAACTTCTGTTGCACAACATATGCACCACTATTATGGGCTTCTCTCATCCACCATCTACCTAGACCATTGAGTGGTCCTTGAAGGTTGTCATATACACTTCTTAGACTTTTGTGTGGTCCTGGGACCACTCAGGTCTAATAGCGAATCTGCCCATGATTATAGTCATTTTCGTCAACTTTATTAAAACTTCTGTAAAAATAAAGTCACTTGATACCCACATAAGGCTGAATCAAGGGACAAATATGAAAAACTAGATGAGAATAATTGTAGCAATGATCTCTTAACTTTAATTTAATTTGAGCAATGACCCCAACTTTAACCTAATTAGAACAATGACCCTGAACTTTAACCCAATAGTAGCAATAGTCCCTCTAACATGACTGATTTTGATGGAATTCTGACCGAGTTCATAAAAAGGACCATAATTACACATTTTAATGAATTAACAGACCAATAATCATAAATTTTTAATAGGTAATTGAGAGACCATTGGTCCACTTAGATTACAATTGAAGGACTATTGTAACAATTTTCTGAAATGACCATTTCTCTGCCTTGTTCAGGGCAAATGTTAAGAACCTGAGACGTTGGACTGTTCAACTTCGGTGGTGCAGAGTTAGCCGCGATGACCGCACCACCGTCAAAAATTCAAATGTAGAATCAACTGTAAGACTCGGGTCGGATGACCTGTCATAAAATTGTATTCAATTCATATGCATGACTTGTTGACCCTTAGTCAGTCAGTCCATTCCCACCTTTTCTCTTTTTGGTCTTATTTTCCAACCTTCCTTTCACCCTTAAATTATCAGTCCCCACTCGGAGCTTTTGCTTTCTACCTTCTCCATTTGATCGGAGTCGTTGTTTTTTGCTTCACCTTTAGAAAAGCAATCTCTTCTACATGTAATATTTTATATGTGGGTTTGATTTTGGTAATTTGGTTGGTAAGTTTTGAGCTAACCCTGTCTCCTGTAGACTCAAAGGATGCCGTGTGGAGGCTTTTCTCTTTGAAAGTTAAAGCCATGGACTGCTCTCTCTCTCTCTCTCTATCTAGCTTCACAGGTCATTTGGTGCAAATTAACTAAATGGGTTTCTCTCAAAGCTCCTCATATGCTTGAAATTTGTGAACTTTACCAGCCATAGGACGTATTTCTGTGCAATCAGACTGAGATCAAAGAAAAAGGTGCTTTCTTTTTGCTTGTGTCCCCCGTAATTTCAGTTTTTTCAATATTTGTTTATTTTTTTTTCTGTTTGGGTTTGTTTTGTTGGATTTGCACTATATGGTTGTGAAACTTTGATGTGCTGGGTCTTACGAAGGAAATGAAACTGTTTCGGAATTTGATATTTCTTGGGTTCTAATGAAGATTAAGATATGGGGATGGTTTAATATAGTTGGTGTTCTTTATTTGAAATCGGGGTTGTTAATTGTTGTTGGATTTATGATAAGAGAAGAAAACACCGGAGATTTCTGATTAATGCTGGATTTTGTTGGGAGAAAAAAAAAGGGTGGGGATAAGTTGTTTTCTGAGTTCAGGTATGGGGTTTCCTTTTAACCACTAGATTTTGGGTTTGAACTTTTGATTAGGTTACTAGATGAGAAGAAATATGATGACTTGTTACATAGTTGTATCTGATCCTCACGGGGTAATCACGAAAGACCTGTACTAGGTAGGAAAACCAGCAGTTGTAAGATAGTTCTAATCATGTTTGCCGAATTGGAGATTGACATTTTGAGTGTTTGCTATAATATGTAGTCTTTCTTATCATTACTTTCAATGGTTTTGATTCGTTGCTTATTTAGGGACTTGCAAATTCTAAGGTGCTCTTCAGCTTCCGAATCATAGGCAAGGATTAGAGCATTTAACGACGTTGGGAGATATGAAGTGCTTCCCATTTTACATTGGAGAGAAAAAGGACGAACCAAAGAGCACAAATACAACTTTTACCGATGGTGAAATGAAGAGATCTGGATCAGAGTTAGATTCCCAGAATATCTCTGATGCGAGCACAGAATCCCTGAGGAGGAACCAATATCCTAGTTTCTCTCAGAGACCCAGCAACCTCAAAGTATTCTCAGTTTCGGAGCTGAAGTCTGCCACGAAGAACTTCAGCCGCTCTGTCATGGTTGGAGAGGGTGGGTTTGGCTGTGTCTATAAGGGGCTGATTAAAAGTGAAGAAGATCCAAATAAAAAACTTGAAGTTGCCGTGAAACAGCTGAGTAAAAGAGGCTTGCAGGCGAGTCTGTTTTTCTATTAACTTTATAGTTTATTCAGATTCTTTTTCATTATCTGCATTAAACTTTTTTGTGATTTAATTGTCGGGTCCACATGAAAGGAGATTAGTTGGCGATAGTTACTAGATATATACTAAATAAGGTACTGTGTTACTCGTTAAGTTTGATTAAAAAAATCCTAATGACTCTGAATGATATAAACATGGTAAGGATGCATTCACACAAGGATGTTGCTTTCTTTTTTCTTTTATTGGTTATTAGCATGCTGAGTCCACTCCTTTCTCTCATCATTCACTAATTTTGCTTCTTCCTAATATGGAGAAAAACATTGTCTTGTACTTAATGGTAAATTGGTAATAATTTGCGGATTGGCCTTATCGCCGAGATTGTTAATCTAACCGATATAAAGTCTAATAAGATGCATTTTTCTGTTTATGAGAAAAAACGACTTCAGTATACTAAAAGTTTCTGCCTTTTTGCTACCAGGGGCACAAGGAATGGGTGACAGAAGTTAATGTTCTTGGGGTGGTTGAGCATCCAAACCTAGTCAAACTAGTGGGCTACTGTGCTGAGGATGATGAACGAGGAATCCAACGACTTCTAATTTATGAATACATGCCTAATGGAAGTGTAGAGAACCATTTAGCTGGTTCTGTAGATCCTCTTTCATGGGCCATGAGATTGAGAATAGCACAAGATGCTGCTCGTGGCTTGACATACTTACATGAAGAAATGGAGTTTCAGGTACTTTGAATTTTTGTTTTCCCTTCCATTATGTGAAGGTTTTTACTGTCTTTTTAGTTTTTATGCATTTGATAGTCACATGTTTTTGAGTTCACATTAATATTTGTTTTAAAAGGTAAAAAAATGAAAAGAGGAGGGAGGGGAAAGGGATTAAGTTTTTTGAGGTAATCCATGCTGACATTTTTCTATATCTTTGTTCTAGATCATTTTCAGGGATTTTAAATCTTCAAATATTCTTCTGGATGATCAATGGAATGCG